ATTGAACTTGAATTTTACAGTAACTTATGGCGATATTATCATAATTTAGTTGCATTTCTTTTTTTGCTGTGTAATAAGTATAGAATATAATCGAGTTGCAATATTTCTTTCAAAATAATACTGCTGTTGAATGAAAAGTTCAGAATAATATATATTACAAAACAAATTAAGGTTATGTTATTTTACACAATAAGTTAATAAAAATGTGTCTAGTTATGTTATTTTGAGGTTATATTACTCATTAGAATAATCATATTACATTCTTTATTTATTCAATAGCAGTATTATTTTCTTAATAAGTATTGCAACTCGAGCATAGTTATATAACCATAAGTTGCAAAAATATGTTCAACTATCTCATTTTGAGGTTATGTCAAATCTTTGGATCTATTATATATTATATTCTATACTTATTACACAGCAAAAAAAGTATAAGCTCAGTATACTGAGCTTGATTTTTACAATAACTTATGGCGATATTATCGTAATTTTGTTGCATTTCTTTTTTTAATTTATTTTATTATTATTATATAATAACAAATTTTTCCTTAATATTATCAATAATATAATTTTCAATGCTTCTCAAATGTTGTTGCAAAAAATTGTATTAAAAATTGTAAATTTTTGTTCAATATATATTCAACATTGCAGTAATATCTTGCAATCTATCTTGTAATCTATCTTGTAATCAGAAAAGAAATTCACATGGCACGCTGATGGATCGAAGTAGCAAACATTTCCGAGCTCTCGTAGCACAGAGAACTAGCTCTTGCACCCTCTTTCTTAATATCTTCATCCTCTTCGCCACCCTCTGGATCTCCTTGTATATCAAGCTCAAGTTTCCCCCCTGGATATATGTTATGTGTATATATTTTAACAAAGGTTGTCCTCATAAACTTGAGCTGTCGTAACGATAAGAAATGGAGATTTTGATGTACGATATATTCTTTCAAAAAACCGAATCTGATTTTCGCAGAATTTTCATGGTATTTCGCATATTGTTTAGAGGGAACGGAAATCTGCGGGAAATACTTGAGTTACATATAGAGTAAACTCAGTCATTTTTCATTATTAATTTCAAGTAATCTTATAATTTATTTTGAAAAATCAACATAAATTCTATGTAGAAAAAACATCTACACTTCTATTTTCAATGTTGCAATGTCTTGTCAAGGTTTTTTCAACGTTCTGTGCTGTATGGAAAGCACCTGGCTCACATATATGTGTCCACACATATATATTTCTATATTACTTTAATTAAAAATTTTTTTGCATTATATAATAGCAAATAGTAGAATATTTCAACAATAAAATTAGAAAATGATAATTAAAATGCTTACCTTGGTTTTCTGTTTTAACGCACATGAGAGAAGAGAGGACGCATGTATGTGTGTGTTGTGTGTGTGTGTTGTGTTCAGAGATATATAAATTTAAAAATTTTAAAATATTTGAGAATAATTTCGAGAAAGTGAATATTTAAAAGCGCAATATTGAATTGTCTATGTTATTAAAGTATTAGGTGATGTGTTATAAACTGAAATGTTGTTGCGGAGAGAAAATAAAGGCCAAAAATCAATAGTTACAATAAAATTCTGAAACAGCTTTACTGACTAAACGTACAAATAACAACGTATTAGCTTTGACGTATCTGTGATTATGCATAATTTTATATTACTAAGTTGTAAAACTAATTAAACTCCGGTCTAATGAGGCGCAAAGTTCTTCTATTTCAATTATTGGTTTCGTGGAATCCTATATAATTATCGCAAGAAACAAAGATCGTTAAAGTTGAAAACATCGTTAAAACGCTCAATAGTCTCTTCTACATCAATTTATTTATTCTCTGTGCCGCCAAAAGAGAGTAGGAAAAGGCATGCCGGAAGAGAGAAAAAATTTATATGTACTTCTCTTATTCTCAAAAAGCTTTTAAACTTTTCTAGGACTTCCACTGCTTGTGATTTAATCAATCAGTTGAAAAACTAATTAAAAAACTAAACCAATTCAAACTCAACATTTTCTGATGAATAATAAATCGATCAATTAAAAAGTTAATCTTCTTAATTAAACGTTTAATGAAAACTAACGTCGTCCATGAACGATAACTATTAGAAGTGACTCTGTCTCACAAGCCTTTTTCACAAACGACGAATTAATTTAATTAAAAGTGCTACAGAGGATCGTAAAAAATGGTTGGGAGACGACAAACGCTGAAACGGCTGGACGAAATCAGCCATGTTGGCAAACGGTTGAAAGAGGGAGCGAATTCAAGCAGAAAATAAATCCACACTGCGCGCTGATGGATCGAAGTGGCAAACATTTCCGAGCTCTCGGCATACTCGTAGCACAGAGAACTGAGTCTCGCACCCTCTTTCTTAATATCTTCATCCTCTTCGCCATCCTCTGGATCTCCTTGTATATCAAGCTCAAGTTTCCCCCCTGGATATACGTTTTAACAAAGATTGTCCTCATAAACTTGAGCGGTAGTAGTGATAAGGAAAGGAGATTTTGATGTACGATATATCCTTTCAAAAAACCGAATTTCGCAGAACTTTCGTGGTATCTCGCATATTGTTTAGAGGGAACGGAAATTTGCGAGAAATACTTGAGTTACGTATAGAGTAAACACAGTCATTTTTCATCATTAATTCCAAGTAGTGTATTTTTTACAATATTTAAAATTTTGTGTTACACGATTACAGTATGTGTGAAAATAATGATATAATTTAATGTTAATAACATTTGATACTAACGATCGAAATATTGTCAAACTCGAGCGATGAACTAAAAACAATGCGTACGTGATGACCCATCGTCGATAAAAGGCCAGGCGAAAATTACTCGTGGGAAATGCGGCTTCGAGAATTCGCTCTTCCGTGTACTGTAGCTGATAACATTATTACGTATGTATGGAGTGAAATCTTGCTGGTGCTACGCCGCACCGGATTTATCGAGTGTTATATACCATTGGGATTAAAGTGTTCGCGATGGAACGCACCTATCCGGAAATTTCATGCAGAAATAAAAGATCCCGGCGTCAGATGGAATGACCACTCCTGTCGAGTAAAACTCGAATAGAGTGGTCCTCCGAAAGAAATTTCATGACAGTAACGACAAATATGGAAATATAAATATGGAAAAACAAAGAAGTAATTGATGCTCAATATATATCAATGTTTAAGAGTCGTTTGGAAAAATATTTGTAAAGCAAGCGATACGTGTGTGTGTGTGTGTGTGTGTGTGTGTGTGTGTGTGTGTGTGTGTGTGTGTGTGTGTGTGTGTGTGTGTGTGTGTGTGTGTGTGTGTGTGTGTGTGTGTGTGTGTGTGTGTGTGTGTGTGTGTGTGTGTGTGTGTGTGTGTGTGTGTGTGTGTATACACACACACACGTCTGTAAATATGTGCGATATCTTCTATGAATGAGAATAATGAGCGAACAATTAACGTCGTGTTTCGACCGAACGTCTTTTAAAGTCGTTTATTGAGCTCGCTTTGTTCTGTCGAAGGCAATCGATAACGAGGAGTGATAACATAATAAATAATAAGTTAATCAGCAGGTCTTATTTACGCTAGCTTAGAAAAGATAAGTACGGACGCGCGGAGTATGTCAGGAGAAGCATATAATACCGTGCATCTGACAGGAGGAAGTTATCAGACTTTATAGACGCGATAGAACTAGGCTGCCAGCTGTATGATAAACTTCGAGCGAGCACGTTAGAGTTAAACGCCGACGATAACAGGAATGACACGATGGATAGGAAGAGTCACGAGAGGTCATGAGAAAATCGCAGAACAACGGAACTGGAGTCTCAACAATCGACCACCGTGCAGCATGGCACGACTTTATCCACGTACTAATTAGAGTGCGCCAAGATGATGAAATGCGCATAGAGACAACGAAAATAAAAAAGGAAGAAGGAAGAGGGAGAGAGAGGGAGGGAGGGAGAGAGAGAGGAAGAGAAAGGACATAACTGAAAACACGATTACAATTAAACATAATTTTACGCGCGAGCGCTGACGACACGCCGAAAGCGAGGTTAATCCATTTTCTACAAAAACTATATTCGTGTAACGTACGTAATAAAATTACTGCGTGACTGATGTGTGTCCTCGCATAAAACAACTGTTTGCTGCACAAAAGCATCGTGACCGCTTTTGCGTGCGAACACCACGTTACATAAAAACATTAGCATGTTAGTGGAAAACGATCAAAATATCACTGCGGGGGAATTATCCGCTATCTAGACTCATTATCTCGTAGATGTGACTGTACGATATTTAACGAGATTTCACATATTCGCACATTTGCTCGTATTTATAATTAAACACGGTTATACGTGAAATTGCTGTATTCTCTTTAGGACGGTTTCTCCTCAGTATACTTGGCTATATTGACGAGCTTGCCAGCAAGAGACGATGAATTATCAAGAAAATGCGGAAAGAGATCGATACAGACACGGATGGATCAAGATAAACGGTTCGTCGTATGGATATAGGTCAGTAACTTAGAGTCGAGCGGGACGGAAATCGTTAGGACTCCTGGCTCCTCGCCGCTTGATTTGTAATGCCAGAACGAGAAAATACACATTTTAAGCAATTTTACAAAATACGCAGAAAAAATGTATCGATAAAATAACACCTGCAATCGATTGAGCAGATATGTAAACTACTTTTTTTTTTGTTTAGGCAGAGGAAATGCTTTACGCACACTCCCGGGAAAGACGGGACTTTCCCAGGGGTAGTGTGGGACTCTCCCCACCCCGGAACTAACCCGGGGGGGGGCCTACCCACTAAAACCTCTGCCGGGCCCCTTGCGGCCATTGCGAGGGCGTCCCGGGAACCGCTTGCGCATTAGATATGTAAAATACTATATATAGTTATTATAAATAATTATAAACAACGTTAAAATATATTGTGATATATATATATATATATATATATATATATATATATATATATATATATATATATATATTTTTTTTTTTATTTTTATAGGAATGGGAAAATTCATTAGCAATGTGCTCTTACTTTATTATTCTTATAGTTATGATAACAAATATGTTTATGTTTTGTTACTGTAGTAATCATAATTGCAAGAATGCCCAATTTATTCACTGTCGCTATCACCGCTGCCTGACACTGATTTCCTAGACACCGGTGATGCAGAACTACAAAGAAAAATAGCTTGTTATTTGTGGTCTCTCCTAAAAATAAGACTGCGAAAAATAAATTATATAAGCCTTAGTAGCGATAAGTAAAGATAGTTTACCGTGCCGATCCGCTGGGACTTCTGCTTCTAGAGCCACTCTTGGACCTAGAGCGCGATCGTGATCTACTGGGGCTTTTAGATCTTGATTTAGATCTCGAAACGGACTTTGACTTTGATCGTGATCGGCTTTTGCTTCGTGACTGGCGTGCCTCCGAACCTGAGCGCGAGTCGCTTCTAGATCTAGATTTAGATCTTGATCTTGACTTTGATCTTGACCTCGATCGCGACACGCCTTTCCTTGAACCGCTCGGTGATCTCGACCTAGAGACGGCTTTCCTCGAACCGCTCGGCGACCTCGACCTAGAGCCGCTTTTTCTCGAGCTCGACCTTGATCTTGATCTTGCCTTCGATCCGCTCTTCCTCGAACCGCTGTTGGACCTTGACCGTGAGCCGCTTTTTGGCGAGCCCGACCTCGATCGTGATCTACTTTTAGCAGATCCCGATCTTGACCCGGAGACAGAGCGACTTCTGGACCTCGACACAGATCTAGATCCAGATGCAGAGTGAGATCTGGAGCGAGATCGTGATCGCGATCGCGAGCGTGAACTGCTTCTTGAGCGACTTCCAGATTTCGATCTCGAACGAGATCGTGAACGTGAAGCACGAGAGCCTTCTGAATCTGACGCGATTCGTCTGCTGCTGCGCGGTTGATTCTCATTGCCGCTTTCGCCACTGGTAAAAATTATAAATTTTAATCATAAATCTTAATATTATGTGTGTCAAATAATTTAGATCTTGTCAATCTTATATTCAACAAAGTTTTTCTATAATGTATATTTCTTACATCTCTCTAGAACTCTAGAATCTCTAGAAACGTAAAATATAAGTACGATAATTAATAGAGAGAAAATAAGTCAGATGTATTGGAAACTATAAAACTGAGAAGATAATTATAGTATTAAGATAATATATCATTGTCAAATATGCTTACCCGCTGGCAATTTTAAGACCACCAGTATCACTATCCGACTCACTAGTAGAGATAGTTTCCTTCGATAACGGCATTTTACCTTTGAGAGTGTCGGTTGTACCTTTCCGTGACTTCTCCTTCTTAGTCCCTGTCTTTCTACCACGCTTTCGCTTCGGACGATCGCTTTCTGATCCTGTAAAATAGATATTTATAAAGTCTAAACATTACAATATTCGAGATTAATAAGTTTGTAAAATCAAAATTAGGAACACAAACATTAAAGCGTTCAGCATACAGCTGATCAGCTGTGCACAACTGATCCAACCAAATTGGCAATCAGTTTCAACTAATTATACATGTTTATTAATTCGAACAGATCATATACGTAAGTGAATTGTATCAATATAATATACAAAATCAGTTATTTCGCGCAATAGTTTTATTGCTGCTCAACGACTGCGCCGGGTCTTTCCGCCCATATTCTATTCCTCACTGATATATAAATACATAGAACCGTGAATATGTGTAGAATCATGCATTCAAATTTATCACTGAATCTTATATTTGTATTATATACTTACACAATAAATTATAATTTATATATAAATTTAAATTTATGTCACACACACACACACACACACACACACACACACACACACACACACACAATCAATAAAAATTAAAGTGAAAATCTCAGAACAATAATAAAAGTAAATTTTCTTACCGCTTTCGCCACTTCCGACTTCCTTTCTGCGCCGGCGTTTACCCTTGCTCTTTCTTTCTTTAGTTTCACCACTCGCTTTCCTCCTGCGTTTTTTTTCTCTCGGCGCTTCATCTCTGCCTTCGTCTGGACCGGATCCTCCGCTATCACTGATATACTGATCAGATCGAACTCTTTTGCCTTTCCTTCCTGGTTTCTCCGACGGCATCTCCCCGAACACCAATGCATTTTTTGTTTTCTCCACATACTCTTGTCGTTTCTGTAGCATCTCCTCTTCTTTCTGACGGCGCATCTCCTCCAGCTTGCGTTGCTCTTCCGTCTGACGCATTTTAAAGGCTTGCCTGTGAGTTTGAAGAGAGATTTGACCATAAGACGTTTACTTCACAAAATTTAAATAGATATTTAAAAAATATTATATCAGAAGTGCAACATACCTTTCTTCTTCTTGCTTGCGTCTCAGCATCTTTTCTTCCTCGTCCAATCGCCTAGCTCTAGCCACGTGATATTGCGCTTGCGACAACAAATCTTGGCATCTTCTAGCTTCAGCATCGGCTAGTTGCTCCATCCTGTCGCCATGTGTCGACAAATATTGGAAATATTTGTGCGAAAGACCCAATTCATGAACTGCTTGAAGTACGGTGGTCAAAGTCGACTTCTCGTCTTTGAGAATTTGTGTGGCTAATCGTTGAAGTACAAGAGCAATGTTGTACAATAAAACTGTATCTTGTGGGGCTACTCGGCGCGCCTAAAAATATATGTAAATATAAGTCGTTTATATTATAAAATTTGGAAAAATATTAAATAACCTAAAAAAATTTATATGACTAATTACTTTCAATAACGTCAGCTTCGCTTCTTTTAGCTTGCCAGCTTTAAAGTAAGCTCTCCCAAGATATTGCAGAACCTCAACGTGATGATATCTATAGAACTTGCGCAAGCAATTTTCATACTGTAACGTAAAATGTGTTCGTTAAAAAGAGTATCCTTAAAAACGATGATTTTCATATGAATTATTATTACTTACCATTTGAATTGCGCTAACGAATTGTTTTTGCTCCACGTAAATGTGCGCAATGTTCAACCAGACATCGCAAAATTCCGCTGTCGCCTCGCGCACTTGAGCAAATATATCTCGGGCCTCGTTCACGCAGCCTTTGTGCGCGAGCACCGCACCGATACCGTTTGCAGCCCAAATATTCTTCGGATCGTTTCTCAGAACCTAGTATTATAATTTATATTTTGTATTAACTACATATACTAATATTTTAACTCAGAAAACATGTTACATTCTATTTTATACTATACTGTTATACTATATTATCTACTTACTATACATTACTATATTACCTGCTTATACATAGCTAATGCTCGATCCTGATGTCTCTTCTCTCTTTCCTTGTCTTTTCCACTTTGATGCAATGTCTGCAGCCAAATATTGCCTAAAGCAATCAGAGAATAAGCATCCGTACTCGTTGATGGGTTTTTAAGGATCCTTTCAAATTTCTTTTGACCAGGACCCCATTCCATTTTGGCCAAATGCAAATTGCCCAGCAATGACCACGCATCCGGATGCTCATTATTAATTCTTAGAGCATCTTTAAACCAATCAGATGCCTCATAAATTTGTCCCTTATCTCTAGCCATGCAGCCGAGTCTCAAGTAACAGTCCACGTAATTCGGATGCTCCTTCAAAATGTCTTTGTACAATTTTTCTGCTCTGTCAAATATGCACAACGCCTCGTTCAATCGTGCTAAATTATACGTAGTTGTAACTGATATAGAGTTATAATACACTGAATCGTGCAAAGCATCTGCTTTCGAACGCGCCAAAGACTCCTCCAAATTTTTTCTGGCTTCTTCCAAATTACCAAGTCTGAAAGGAACAAAGGATAAAGTGTAAGCATTTGTAACTTAGCATTTGCATTAGCAACTTTATTAACAGGACAATAAAAATGAAAATATATACCTGTAATGTAAAGCTCCTACGTTATTCAGAATTTCCGGCGGAATATCCGCATGAACTTTTTCCTTTAGGATCCTCGTTGCAGTACCGTAAGCATTTAAGGCTGCATTTAGATCACTTTGCTCTAATATCTGCGCCAGTTCAATCCAGGCTTCCACGTCGTCGGGAAATTGTTCCGTTACTTTCCGCAAATGATTTTTTGCAATGTCGCGTTTCGACTGAGAACTGGAATTAGCGTAGAGCGAACCAAGAATCTTCATAGTCTCATAATTTCCTGGTTGTGCTTTCAAAACTTTCTCGAAACACTGTGCTGCCTATTATTAAAATATATTAATGCTTTATATATCCTCAAAAAAATAAATACCTAGTAGATAATATATATCGATAATGCACTTACATTTTCGGCATCACCGCGATAAACATACATCTGTCCTAAACCAAAATGTGGTAATACGAATACAGGCGGTGCAAATTGTGTCGCTTGATAATAATATTGAAATGCCTGGTCATAATCACCCTGAAATATTTCATTTAATTAGTGATTCAAAGTCCAACTACTTATCTTTTTGAATATTCGTTTAACAGTTACGATTTCGTAACAACGGTAAAGATATTTTCGAGAGCATACTAATAAACTTACTTGAACATGAAATGACCTGGCTAATTGGTAGCAACTTTCCGCTCGCATGGCTTCGTTTTCTGTGTTATGAAAAGCGTGCAGAGCTAAATGCTGGACTTTATTATAATCCTTTTTGAAGAAAAAATGATTTGCCAAATGATTCAATACCATCGGATTTGTCGAATCAATCGTGTATGCCTTTGACAACATTTGCACACCAGTTCTTATGCTGTCGGGCTGTTGCTGATTTAATTTCAGAACCGAAAGACCCACCAACGCGCCAACGCATTGTCCATCCAGCTGCAAAGCTCTTTCAAACGCTAATCGTGCCTTTTCCTGATTGTTCAATTTCATGAAACAGTGACCCATTCCCAATCTAACAGCAGCTGGGCAATTTGGATTAGTCCTGAGGGCTTTCTTATAAAACGCAAGAGCACCTCTATAATCTTTCTTGTTGAAAGCAATGCAGGCTTTGCCGAGCAGAGAAGGTATATTATTGGGTGACTGATTCAATACAAAATTAAACTGTGCATCAGCCTGTTCCATCTTGTCACCCTCAAGCAGGCAGAAATAAGCTCGTCCAAGTAAATGATTCTGTAATAAAAGAAATATGTATATAAAATCAAAGAAACTTATAGATGTTGTTGTATAAAGCTATATAACACATACCTGGTCATACATGATGATCTTATCAGCTGTTGTGTATAACAATGTGGCTTTTGTGAAGAGATCTCTCTTCTTATCCTTGTTCTTTTCTCTATTGGCTTCCTGAACATAATAGGCAGCCAACATGTCAAGAGCTCGCATCTGGTCTTTTTCATAGTCTCGGTAGTCAATATTTGCATCAATACGAGAAGATTCAAGTATCTTAATAAAATCTTCAATCTTCTGCTGCTTGTAATACTCAAGCTAAAATGCAAAAAAAGCACATGCTATACATATATATACAAAAAAATATATATATATACTGTTTACATAAAAATTATCTATTTTACGTACAGCCAAATTGACCCAGATACTAAGCTGAGCATGTTCTTGCCGCAGAATCCCAAGTACCTCATCGCCATCAGGTAATTGATCCAAATAAAGTTCTATAACCTATTAAGGAAATTAAGAAAATAAGAGATTAAGAAAATAATGAAAATAATTAAAATTTTTAAAGACTGACATATATGTATCATACACAATACCTTATATTTTTATTATTACCTAAAGTTTCCAGCAAACACAATGTTACATGTAACGTACATGTTAATTGTAATTTCCTACTCAACAATATAACTGTTATATAACATGCATGTTATATAACAGTTATATTGTTAAGTAAGAAATTACAACTAACATGTACGTTACATGTAACATTGTGTTTGCTGGGTTACTACTAATAGGTTCTGTTCTCTATTGCTGAACTGACTGCACTAGTTCTCTCCCATCTTTTCTTCTACTAAATTTTATCTATATGGTTGAGTTTTTTAATTCATCGATGGATCCATCGCATGATGCGCAAATGCAATGTTTTGCTGTATTTACGCATCATGCAATGGATCCATTGATGAATTAAAAAACGCCTTATATCTCTCTTTCTAAGTTTTAAAAGTGTACACTAGTTCAGCAATAGGAAGCAGAACACAGTTGTTGTCTTTCAGACACTTCATCGTATGTTACTTCCTAGTAAGATATATGTAGACACTTTTTCATCGGATATTTTATCATTCACGACAATTCATGAATAAAAAGGTGTAATAAACGTCTGAAAGACAAATGTCTAACGATCAAATGGCAAACGACAAGAAGTGACTTGCTACCACTTCCCACATATAAAGTGCTAAATTATTAATTCATTAAACCTTTAAAGAGTTACAAATTTATTGATTAGTATAAGTTTATAAATCATACTTTCTTTAATTTACATATTATTAATAAGATATTCCACATAATATTAAAATCTATTATTACAGAGAATGAAAAGTTAGGTTAGCTTCGCAATATGCATCATGCACCATATGTTGATCGATACAAAGATCTTATATTTTACGAAATCTCCACATTTTCATTATCACCAAAAACTATTTACCGCACATAAAAATAAAAATATAGCACATAGAAAAAGAATATTTACCTCATCTGTATCTCTAAGTGGTATCTCTATAGAACCTGCCATCGTAACTGCAAACCATTGAACCAGAAAGAAATCCGAGAACAACCACACCAATCAGAGAGAAGCTTGAGAATAGCCACCGACCTGATTTCAACGGCCAGAGCTAGACGCATTTTAAATACGCCATCTAACCAAAATATGCCTAACTACGTCCGTAAAGGTGCCTTTACATGGGCATTAAAGCGGTAGCCAATCAACGTGCCACTTTGCGCAATAACTACAAGTATATTTCTGGAATCTCATACATTGATTGGCTAAAGGTGCGATTTCACGCAGCGAATAAAAGCTGGCGTTTCACCCCACTCCATCGTTGTTCAAAGCAGCGTTTAAAAGCTGTTCGCTATGGGAGTGTCTCGATTGACCACGGTACGATTGGACACAACCAATCGATGAAAAGAATTATCTAGTGAATTACTAGGTCGAACCAATCATTACAATCTGTGTCCAATCGTATCGTGGTCAATCGGGTCCCACCTGTTCGCTATCACTTGTATCCTTTTCATGGAGCGAATAAAAGCTAGCATTTTATCCCCACTTCAGCATAGTTCAAAGTACCGTTATAACGCTGTTCGCTGTCGCCCATATCCTATTCACCACGTTTAACCTCCTGTATAAACTGCAATAAGTATAAAAATGGAATGTTATAATCGAGATATATAAAATATTATAGATGTACAGTGGCGATTATAGGTGAAGTTCGAAGACGACATATAGCTGCTGCAATTGCAGCGATATATTTATTAAAAACGAAAAAAATACATAAGACGAAAAAGTTAATCAATTTAATATAAATAAATAAGATACAAAGAGTAGCCTATAGGTTATAACCTACCCAGCGAGAAAGGTTACGTCGATTCAACGTCTACTAGACGTCTATATGAAATGTCTATCTACCATCTACGTCTAATCTATGTTAAAATCTATATCGACCTAAAAGCGGTCCACATTTAGATGTCTAATAGACCGTTATTTCGACGTCTTATCGATGTCTAATAGACCGTCATTTCGACGTCGATTCGACGTTTTTTTGACGTCGATCAATAAGTCATTTCTCACTAGATTGTTTCATAAAAATAACTAATTCCTAATTTTCTTTATGCCTTATAAACTGCTAGAAACCGAAGATTGTTAAACACACGCTAAAACTTTCGCGAATCCTACCGATAATTTCGAATTCGAAGTGGTCACTCATCTATCCTGACTGCGTTGCTTAACTTGACGATCGAGCGGTACGCGGTGCTCCAATGACTCCAATTATGTTCTTACAATTTATGCTTATAAAATGTATACTTACAGTGTTATACTTACAGTATATTATAACGTACCTAGCAAATACACGCGTTGATATTCGCAAATATTCGCCTGTCTATTTTATTTAATATCTCTCAAATTTATGTAGTTATTTGCAAAATGACTTTGATTATTCCTTCCAGTTTAATGTTTTTCGAGTAATCTGACATTCCTATTTTTATAATACTATAATTTGTACTATTGTAATACTATAATTTATATTTATTAATATTTGTACTTTTTGTGACTATAATTTGTATGCAAAACGCGCGCGATCTCAGTGAGAAATGACTTATTTATCGATGTCAAAAAGACGTCGAATCGACGTCGAAATCGTTAAATAAACGTCGATTCTTTATCGCTTTATTTGTCGATATCACTTATTTCAAACCAAAGATTTGAGTAACATATATATTTTACATATATATTTTACAAATATATATGTAACTTAGATTTATTAATATTAAGTAAGTCTGTATGTTATTACATATAAATCGAAAATTATTCCAAATTTCATTTCTAGAATAATATGTACATGTCGTGCGTGGAACATTTGCTTATATTTGAATATCTTTTGAAAATTAAATTGAATGTTATGCTTTGAATTCCTTCTTCTGGATTTTAAACAAACCGAAGAAGTTTTGAAATATTAATTATAATTATTGTCATTTATATTAATGTATAGTATTGTTAATAATATATATGGCATGAATATTGTATTGTGGCAGAATCCTCTCCAATGATATTTCCAGAAGATAAGTTAGTGGGTGTTGGAACTATTTCCTTTTGGCAGCAGAGTCCGCACTAACTACCCGATGGGTGTTCGGACTGTTATCCTGGGATGGCAGAGTCCGCATCGGTGAAATTTTCTGAAAATAAGCCAGTGGGTGCTAGGACTGTTCCTTTTGGGAGCAGAGTCCGCACTGGCTACACCGATGGGTGCTGGGACTGTCGTCCTTGGGTGGCAGAGTCCGCATCGGTGGAATTTTCTGAAAATAAGCCAGTGGGTGCTGGAACTGTTCCCTTTTGGATTACGATGGTAAATGTAAAATGTTAATTTTATTTAATTCAATATATTTCTTTAATTTAGTAATTTTATAAAATGTTTATTCTTGGGTTGCGAGAGATCTCAAATATATTGTTTAGCATATAGTATCCTTCCGCGTCACTGCTGTATCGGGAACATGTAATTAACTGTCTCTTACTTCGTCCAAATAATTTTTCATTCGTTGTCTGATAATTAGCATTTGCTGCACTTTTTCTGGCTGATTTCAGAAACGCTAAAATATAAAAATAAGAATATAAGTATTATATTTATCATTCTCCATATCTAAAATGTTACATGTATTTTTAGTCCCAACACTCACTGGCCTATCTTCTGACAATACCGGAGCGGACTCTGCCACGCCATTGCCAAAATTTTCTAAATTCTTTTTTTAATGTTTGGAAGAAATAATAAAAATAACATTTAACTTAGTTTTCAAAAGATTCACAATATTCATTATATTCTCATATTTTTATGTGACTCAAAAGATTCCATAACATTTTGCAGAATGTTTGACGTATGTTTTGTATAATTCTGTTTTTTTAAACATGACAATTGACATTCTGCAAATGTTAAAAATATATATTGCGACTGATTTTCTGTAAAATAATTTAAGTTAAGTTTCTTATGATTTTCTTGAGTGTGAAACCCATTTCCCTTATAGAAATATCATACTAAGAATCATTGATAATTATTTATTTTCAGTATTAAAAATACTGGATAATAAGTAATTATCTTAATGATTCTTAGTATGATATTTCTATAAGGGTCGGCTATGTTACGACTAATTACAACTCTTGATTAGCTAATTAAAATAATATTAGTACTGACGAGCATTGGCCATTCGTTGTGTCCAACGTCAATGAATCGCAACGTGATCGAACCGAACGCTCTGATTTCGTTCCCTCACAAATATATTTTAATAATTAATTCATCTTGTTTATTGTGATAAACTCGTAAATATTTATGTTCTGTGATAAACATGTTACATACCATATATGTATAATATTTAGTATAATATTATATTTAATGTTATGTTAAACTATTATTATGGTAAATATTAATATAATATGCAAAGTTATTATTATAATAATTATAATATTCCATACTATATATATGTTTTATATTATTATTAAAAAGATATATTAAATATTGTCATTATTTGTATCCTTTCTTTCTTTCATTTCTTTTATGATGAAATTTCCAGGAATATCAGATTCTCTTGAATTCATTTTAAATAAAATTTTACTTGTTACTTTAAAGAATTTCACTTGTTCTTGAAGTTTAAATAGCTCGTAATAAATCTGACCTAAAAACATCAGAATATAATATGACATTTTTGTATAAAAAAAATATTGATATAAACCTAAACTGGGACTATGTGCTTCTTTACTCATAATACAATGATCTTAAAAAAAAAAACAATTATTAAATCAAAGAGATATGACAAAATAAAGAAATTTAAAACTTGAATTGTTATAATTAGTATATTAATGAATTATATTTGCTACACGAAATTTTATTTGATATTATCCCATAACGCGACAAATATTAACGACCTATAAGGAGCAATGTACGGATGTCTTAGTGTTATCTAAAATAATAATTAATATTATTTTCTGTATAATTAATTTTCTGTATATATTAATATAATAGTGGGAGAATAATGTGTCTAGCGTATCAGATGCTCGAATCAGATATTTCTCCAATCGAAGAATCGGTTTAAGTTTGGAAAGTTGATTCGTTGTGTACGATTCATCAAAGAAATATCTCATTTGTGCATCTGTCATGCTGGACACATTATCCTTTTACTATCATATTTATATTAAAGAAGATAATATTAATATGTAAGGGCATTAAGACCTGTGCTTTGCTTCTTAGAGTTAATAGTTGTTATTATTGAATTATACTATGTAACGTGACGATTTTTGTTATCGTCCGTCACTCGGAAAGTCGTGCGGAAGCCGAAAGCGGGCTTCCCGGTTGCAGGTGGATGTCGCGTCCTAACGGTAAGGCGAATAGGACGCGAGCCTGCGTGGCCCGAATATTTTGTGTATAGAATAAAAGTGCGGGTGTCGAGAGGTCGGGTCAGGAGGAAGAGGACTTCAGGGAAGATTCGCTGCCGCCGAGGGAGAGAGAAGTCAGGCTCAGGAGCATCGGACGGACCAAAAATCTCAGGTGAATCGCTTCCTTATTATTGTATTAGTAAGTAAGGACCGACAGGTGAATCCGTTCTAAGGAGGCCTGTTTTAGCCGAATATCCCTGCTAACGAGGAGAACGGGGAGAGAGAGAGAGCTGCCGACGTGGATCAGTCCTGAGCTGCCGCAAGGGAGCCGCTGGGACGGAGTCGACGGACACCGCGGACGAGCGGAGGACAGCTGCTACCAGGACGAGTCCGACAAGCACATCCTCCGCGACCCGGAGCGTCCTCCGAGCCAGGCGAAGACGCCGCGAGGCT